ACAAACTATATTTTTAGAACTTATGTTTATATTTCATTATAGTGATTTTCATACAGTACACATTAAAGCTAGCAAGAGATTTATTGTTAATCCATAATGGATATTTTTATTGTATTTATTATTATTACATTTATTTGCCACCCATTCAACCACAAGGTGGTTCTGAGAGACTTACAATGTTAAAAGTATAAAACAATACAATATTATAGTAGTATAATATTTAGGCTTATACAGTATACTGATTCATAATTAGCAGTATCCCTTTTTTGTCAAGATTTGAAGCATGGTAGTGATGATATCTTCTCATTAAGATACTGTAGGGCTGCATTATTGATGGCTTTTTTGCATAATCACATAATACAGAATGTCATTTGCATAAATAAATATAAAACATAGACATCTTTTCCCTCTTTCCAACTGAATTGCCACAGCCTTCATCAATGGGTCATCCATTTAATAATTTTGGGAAGAGTAGTCTGCTTAGACCTCTGATAACTGTCAGAATTTTACAAGAAAAAAGAAACACAGAAGCGTGGGGTTTTTTTAAAATCCAAGTTAGTACAGTAGTCCTCAACTTACAACTATAACTGCATTCACAATGTTCCAGTTATTAAGTAGGTCATCATGTGACCGCATCTGATTTTATGACTTTTTTCAGTGGTTATTAAGCGAATGCCACAATTGTTAAGCAAACCAATTTTTTGCTATGGGTGTTTTTTTTATCAGAAACTGAAAGTAAATGCCACTTTCCTGAAAAAACGTTGCAAATCAGGATCACATGAGGTGGGACCCTGCAAATAGCCATAAATGTGGGCCAGTTGCCAAGCACCTAAAATGTGATGATATGACTGTAAGGAAGGGGTTGTCTGTTAGAAATTTAAATCTAGGTCATAAATAATCTAGGGAAAGTCTGTCATAACTTTAAATGGTTGCTAAGCAATCAATCATAAGTCATGGACTATCAATACAAAGGATGAATAAAGAATGACAAAGAATTATGAGTAGACATAATTAAATATGATAGATAAACATCCATGTGACCTAAAACATCCATGTGACCTAAAACAAAGCCCAAACATTATAAATAGAGACTGGAATATTAGGAGGAATAATGTATTTTAAAAGTTTTAAAGCACATCCAAAATATGCATGAGATGGCAGCAGAATTGATCACAAAACTTGTGTCCTATAACCATCAGACCTAAGCGCTACCAGCCACAAGCAGCAGAGGAAAACAAAGTTTTTAGAGATCCTTAAATCTAAAAAATACTCCAATAGGAACGAATAAAATAGAATAAAAAGTAGCATCCCTTGAGATCCTAAGGCAAATGACTATAGAAGAACAGAGGCATAGAGGCAACTAACAGATTCAGCAGGGAATTAATCTGGATCATTTCCATATACAAAGCAAAGTCACAAGAACTGTACCAATTGCAGTTGCAACAAATCACCAGCAGTGCCATAGATATAGTTTTGTAAGGAGAACTTGAAGTCCATGCATGCAGACAAACATACTCATGTTCATAAGAAAGTATTATTATTATTATTATTATTATTATTATTATTATTATTATTAATAATAATAATAATAATAACAACGATAGACAAAAATGCCAAATCCAGTCTGAACATCTGGCTGACTGTGCGATGATCAATAATAATAATAATAATAATAATAATAATAATAATAATAATAATAATAATAATAATAATAATAATAATAATAAGTAGTAGTAGTAGTAGTAGTAGTAGTAGTAGTAGTAGTAGTAGTAGTTGGAAGGGATCTTGGAGCTCATCTAGTCCAACCCACTGTTCCGGCAGGAAACCCGATACAATTTCAGACAAATGG